TCAGCCTCAGCCTGCCTCAGCCTCAGCCCTCAGCCTGCTTCATCCTCAGCCTCAGTCTGCCTTCAGCCTCCGCCTCAGCCTCAGCCTGCCGCAGCCCAGCCTGCATCAGCCTCAAGCCTTAGCCTCAGCCTGCCTCAGCCTCAGCCTGCATCAGCCTCAGCCTCAGCCTGCCTCGGCCTCAGCCTCAGCCTGCCTCAGCCTCAGCCTGCATCAGCCTCAGCCTCAACCTCCGCCTGCCTCAGCCTCAGCCTGCCTTCAGCCTCGGCCTCAGCCTCAGCCTGCCTCAGCCTCAGCCTCAGCCTGCCTCAGCCTCAGCCTGCCTCAGCCTCAGCCTCAGCCTGCTTCAGCCTCAGCCTCAGTCTGCCTTCAGCCTCGGCCTCAGCCTCAGCCTGCCTCAGCCTCAGACTGCATCAGCCTCAGCCTCAGCCTCAGCCTGCCTCAGCATCAGCCTGCTTCAGCCTCAGCCTCAGCCTGCCTCAGCCTCAGCCTCAGTCTGCTTCAGCCTCAGCCTCAGTCTGCCGTCAGCCTCGGCCTCAGCCTCAGCCTGCCTCAGCCTCAGCCTGCATCAGCCTCAGCCTCAGCCTCAGCCTGCATCAGCATCAGCCTGCCTCAGCCTCAGCCTCAGCCTGCCTCAGCCTCAGCCTGCCTCAGCCTCAGCCTCAGCTTGCCTCAGCCTCAGCCTCAGCCTGCTTCAGCCTCAGCCTCAGTCTGCCTTCAGCCTCGGCCTCCGCCTCAGCCTGCCTCAGCCTCAGCCTGCATCAGCCTCAGCCTCAGCCTCAGCCTCAGCCTCAGCCTCAGCCTGCCTCAGCATCAGCCTGCCTCAGCCTCAGCCTCAGCCTCAGCCTGCTTCAGCCTCAGCCTCAGTCTGCCTTGAGCCTCGCCTCAGCCTCAGCCTCAGCCTGCCTCAGCCTCAGCCTGCATCAGCCTCAGCCTCAGCCTCAGCCTGCCTCAGCATCAGCCTGCCTCAGTCTCAGCCTGCCTCTGCCTCAGCCTCAGCCTGCTTCAGCCTCAGCCTCAGTCTGCCTTCAGCCTCGGCCTCAGCCTCAGCCTGCCTCAGCCTCAGCCTGCCTCAGCCTCAGCCTCAGCCTGCCTCAGCATTCAAAATGTGGCCCGGGAATGGAATTCTGGGAACTCGAAGAACACGAAGTGGCCTACAGTTGGCTCCGGGCATTCAAAATCATGCCCAGGAATGGAATTCTGGGAACTCGAAGATCACGAAGTGGCCTACAGTTGGCTCGGGGCATTCAAAATGTGGCCCGGGAATGGAGTTCTGGGAAGTCGAAGAGCACGAAGTGGCGTACAGTTGGCTCCGGGCATCCAAAATGTGGCCCGGGAATGGAGTTCTGGGAAATAGAAGAGCACGAAGTGGCCTACAGTTGGCTCCGGGCATCCAAAATGTGGCCCGGGAATGGAGTTCTGCGAAGTCGAAGACCACGAAGTGGCGTACAGTTGGCTCCGGGCATTCAGAATGTGGCCCGGGAATGGAGTTCTGGGAGGTCGAAGAGCACGAAGTGTGTGACTGTATGCAAAAAACGATCCCCCCCGGAAAACCCCAACGGCTCCCCAACGGCTGCCCAGACCCCCCTGGGGAGTCATCAGATGCTTTCTTTTGACACCACTAGAAACCTACCAGTCTTCGATGTTGGGTAAAAACTCGGAGGTCCGCGCGGATTTCTCGGATCGGCGCTGGGGCCCCTTGGCGGCGCCTCCGGCGCGGAATGTTTCGTCTCCCTTACAACATCGCGGGAGCCTTGTGTTCGGGAGGGTCTGAGGGTTTCACCCCTCCTCCCCTCGCGCGGCCGCCCTCGTCTTCTTGATTCTCTCTCCGCACGCCGGACAATCCGCCCCTCGGCCGTCCCCATCCGCCCCGCGCCGGGGCGGACCGCCTCTGCCTCGCTGGCCCGGCGGCAGAGGTGCTCGGGAGGGTCGAATGGGGGTGCCGAAAGAGAGAGGGACGGGCCCCAGGGGTCAGGAAAACACAGCGGCGGAAGGTCTCTCGCTCTTGTCAGCTGCGCCTGTCGCGGCGCGCGCTCCACGAGCTGCCGCAGAGCCGAGGGGAGCCTCCCTCCTCCTCCTCCTCTCCTCCTCCTCCCTCCTCCGTCCTCCTCCTCCTCCTCCTCCTCCTCCTCCTCCTCCTCCTCCTCCCTCCTTCCTCCTCCTCCCTCCTCCTCCTCCTCCCTCCTCCTCCTCCTCCTCCTCCTCCTCCTCCTCCTCCTCCTCCTCCTCCTAAGATTCGATAACATACGCCCCCCCCTGAACTTGTCGGAGAACGCGACGAACAGGTAGGAGGCGCACTTCATTCCGTACAGCTGGCTGAAAGAGAAGCCCGTGGAACACCGAGTGATACCGCGGATGGGTGCCTCCAAAACACGACAGTCTGTTCACCCTTTCAACACAACCAGACAAGTACAGAAGAAGTTGAAAGAACACCAAAAGCCTCCTTGATACAAATAGGTTGAACCGAAGCAAACTCGATACGGCGAACTGGTCATCGGGCAACGCCGAAGGATCGTTCACACCGAAAACAGCCTCATTGCAGTCGAGGAAAGCCCCCAGCACTTGCAATACTTTGCACACGATGCGGAACAAGGCGTGGGACTACGGAAGAAGAAATCTACTGCTTCCACAAGCCCGTGCCAAATTCCCACCAACAGTGCATAGCACGCCCTGGAGAGGGTCGGAGAAAGGCCAATTAAAGGCACCTCCCCTCCCCAGGGACGGACGCCGAAAAAGAAGTTCAGGAAGTACCCAGAACTTAAAACAAATGCGATACCAAATGCACATTGCACTGCCCACCAGTGGTACGCCCAGGCGACTGGTGGGCGGATAGTTGCCACAAAAGACGCCGAGGTGCCGCCCCAACCCGCCGCCTGCAACGGATGCTGATGAAGGGGTGCAGACAAACATCCCAAGACAAAACCTCCCAGGAATGAAGTGGATGTGATACTCTCTTGCGTCGGTGACCCCACATTCTGTAAACAGCAAGGGTGCACATGAAGGACACCACGGCAATAAGAGGCCACACCGAAAACTAGCCGACTCATGATTTGCCCTTCTTCGCCACCAGGTAAAGAAACTCGGACTGTGCACCACGACCGGACTTCCGCTGTGGGCCCCCCCAAGCGCCGCGAGAAGGCGAAGGGCACGACCGGAGACATCGCCAGGAAGCCAAAATCAGCTACGGAAACGCCTCGGGCCGATGCTTGAGGGAGGAGGGGGAGGAGGAGGAGGAGGAGGAGGAGGAGGAGGAGGAGGAGGAGGAGGAGGAGGAGGAGGAGGAGGAGGAGGAGGAGGAGGAGGAGGAGGAGGAGGAGGAGGAAGGAGAGGAGAGAGGAGGAGGAGGAGGAGGAGAGAGGAGGAGGAGGAGGAGGAGGGGAGGAGGAGGAGAGGAGGAGGAGGAGGAGGAGGAAGGAGGAGGAGGAGGAGGAGGAGGAGGAGAGGGAGGAGGACGAGGAGGAGGCGGAGGAGGAGGGTTCGTAGTCATTTTGGCTCAAGCCGTGTCGGTTCAGATCCGTAGCGGCAGGAGCTACCTGGCATGAGGGATTGCGCGGCCTCATATGCTTCCCCTGGTGGTGATCCAGGTACATTCCCCTTAGTGTACGTCTCCACTTCAGCTCAGGTCTCCCGCCTGGGCCCCATACCTTCTACAAGAAGTCCATATGTTCGGTTCTGCACGCTCGTGCGCTGCCATCAAGAGGATGGTTGTGTGGCGGCAGACGTGGTGCTGCGCCAACCCTCTCGCAGTCCCCCAGGGATCGCATCCAGAGGCAGCGCGGCCTGCTGCCAGGTGGCCCGTCGATCGTCTGTCAATTCGGCGTGAGCACGATCTTCTCCAAGACAGAGTGGGTAAAACCCAAAGAAAGCACGATAAGGCCGTCGCCTCCGTGCAGAGCGCCGCTGAGTGGGCAGTGCAGTGCTGCATGGAGCTTGACAGTCAGCACGTGGAGCAGCGGCACTGGCCCAGCTGGGCACGCAGTTATCGTCCGGCTGCATCCTCAACCCTTATGGCACCCTCCTCCAGCGCGCCAAAGCCCTTGGGGCTACGGAGCTCGAGGCCAAACTTGCGAGCATGGCCAGTGAGCTGCAGGCGCTGCAGGAGGAGTTCTAGGCAAAGGGTGCGTCGGCCCGCCGCACGCAGGCTGAGGACTCGGCAGGCTGGCTGAGGCGCAGGCAGGCGGCGGCGCGGCGGATTGCTCGACAGATGCCGCCAGCCAGCCAGCTTCGGCCGCCTCGGCCGCGCCAGCTGCGCAGGCCACCCCTCCTGGACATGTTCGTGAGCCCTCGCCACCTGCTGACCATGGTGCTGCTGAGCGTGCTGCTCGCGACTGGGCTGCCAGGAATGAAGAGAAGTTGTTGGAGGCGGCGCAAAAAACGCCGTCGGCCCCGATCATGACCTCGACGAAGGTGTCGACCCTGAGCGCGTCAAGCGCAGGGCCATGGAGCTCGTCGGCCTGGCTTCCATGAAGATGCGTACTGGCCTAGTCTTTGTTCCCAACACGTTGGGGCAGCAGCAGGCAGCTCACCACTGCCATTGCCAGCGTCACCAGCAAGCCAGATATGGAGGTATTGTTGAATTCGCACCCCACCGGCTCGCGTGATCTGTTTCTGGCTCAAGAAACCAAGGTTGCGGGTTTTCACTGTGACGCGCAGGAGGCATCGTTGCGAAGGACCGGTTGCGCAGCCAGCTTCAACCCTGCCTCTAGGGCGGGAAAGGATGGTGAGGGCGTTGGTCAGATCATGACTGGACTCTCGGGTGGCACGCTCGTGGCTGCCCCAGCGAGATGTGGCTTGAACAGTATTGAATATGTGGATCGCATCGTCGTTCATGCGCGTGCTCAGATCATGTATTTTGCTGATGGGCCCAAAGGTGGCCTATTGGTTGGCACTCTCTACTTGTACGACTCAGAGGACCTCAGTGAGAGTAGCTGGCGTATTCTGTGTGAAGGGGCAAGCAGATCAAGCTGGCGGGAACCCCCTTCGTCCTCAGTGCGGGCTGGCAGGTGACTCCGCAGCAGCTGCAGGCGAGTGGCTGGGTCGACGGCATCGGCGGCGCCATCGCGGCATCGGAGCAAGGAACCGTTGCGCCGCCAGAGAGGGCCATCGACTACACCGCGATGTGCCCTTTCCTCGCTGCTGGATCGCAGATTGAAGTCATCGCGGACGTGGCCATACCTCCCCATCGACATGAAAGGCCAAGTCTCAAAGTTCGTCGTTGTCCTCCTGGCGCGCGCGCAGTGGCCCAGGCGCGCGGCCCCCCTGCAGGGAGGCCAGTAGGTTGCTGCCGTGAGTTCCAGGAGCCAGGCTGGGACGGCATAGCGAATTATTGTCGCTGTCCCGAGGCCGATGTTGATCGCGCCTGGGCCAGTTCCATCGCGGCTGCGGAAAGCAAGTGAGTTAACCTATTCGAAATTAAGCTCCGACGACAGGGGCTGTTTGGGCAACGCGCGAGCGCCCGCAATCAGGCGCACGAGGCCGCCGCGCCGTGCAGTCTTTTCTCCCTTTCCCGCGGCTGGATGCTCCAGCTGTCTGGTGGAAGGGTATCTTTCATGCGTTCGGAGCCTTGCGCTCTGTGCCGGGGGGCCGGGGTGATGTCCCCAGGCGAAACAGGCCCTTCAAGCACTGCAGGATTCGAGGCAGCCTCAGAAGTTGCAGGGGTGCCGTTGTTTATTTTGTTTCGAAGTTGGCTGCTAGTAGCCTGCCCCTCACACCGCCCAACTCCTCCTGCCGCAGACTTCTGCGCCGCGGCAAGCAGATCAGCTGGTGCAAACCAGCCAGCGGGACAAGTAGAGAGGCTGGGGGGCTCGGGTGGAAAAGCGCAGCGCCAAACGCGGGTCCTCCACTTTGCATCGTTTCTCGAAGGTGCCTGCTGGTTGGGCGCCAGACGAGGCCGCGTGTGATTATGTCCTGCTCGGCTCGCCAGAGCAGATGGATAAATTGCGCAGTGAATGGGGGGCCTGGCGGTGTGTCTCGGAGGCCCACCCGCCGCCCCAGTGGCCCGACCACTCTTCCCTCGGTCCTCCTCCGAGGACCACCGCAGAACAGGTCAAAGCAGTGCTGATGAGCTTCAAGCCCACCGCGGGCCAAGGATGTGGTTCCGCCACCCCCCCGCCACCTCTTTTTTTCTCCATGATTGAGAACTCAGATAACCTTCTTGGATCAATTGTGCAATGGCACAATGAACATGCCACGGGATACCTCTTGGAGGTTGTGAACGTGTCAAACCGTCCGAAGGAAAAGTTGCATGTCTGAAGTGATCCAGACAGCGCTTGATTCTACAGAGGAGAAAGGAGGGCGGAGGGAATGCCATAATGCAATGAGGATGAGAAGATGGTAGAGGAAAACAAATACTGGTATGTGCATGCGGATGCTCAATTAGAGCAGTAAGCCGCTGCGCCTGCAACGTGAGAGATCCGAATAATAAGAAGTTGTGCGAGCGCGTTCGCGGGGCTCGCAACCCGTCGCCTTGCGGGGCGTAAAGCGGACCCGCGGCCTATCATATCATGCGTCGTCAGTCGTTGGGCGCTGGCAGGGAGCAAGAATGGGCAGTCAGCCGGGCGACGGGAAGAAGCAAGGCGGTTCGGCAGAACATAGGGCGAATCGCTGTGGCGCCGGTCCGGCGTTGGCACCGACTTTCATCCAGATCAAGCGCCGGAGAGAAAAAATAGTTCCAAATTGTGCGAAACATGGACACCCGCGCGCTCTGTCGCAATTCCGTCGGCGACCATATCCAAAACAGCGTTGCGCACGGCGTCGGCATCAACGCTGAATTCTCGGTAAACGTGCTGCTAGGGGACTATGGAATACAGGCGCTCTGCGAAGTTTTGCACTTATTCGAGAGCCGACTTCAGTGGCCGAAAATGTGGACCACGCTGTTTTCCTTGGCCAACCGCACTGGAGGTTTCAGGCCGATTGCGTTGCCGCGCGTTTCTGCCAAAGTCTTTGTGTCGTCTTTGGAGAGAGGAGCTCCGTCATTGGCAGCGACACTGTTAGAAATTTCTGATGGGAAACCCGAGGCGAAGCCGCCGATGAGTGCGTTTGGGCGCAGGCTGCGCGGGCCTAGTGGGCCCGCGCCAAGGATGCGTCGCCTGGCGCTGCGCCGGCCGATGTGGAAAAGGCGTTTGAGCTCATCCGGCGCCGCCGCTTTCTGGCAGCAGCTGCCCGAACGTATTTCCCCGCTCGCCTTGTCTTCTTGGTCGTCAGTTTTCATCGTCAGCCGCGTGTTTCAGACGTGGGCATCTCTGTGTCCGAGCCCATTCTGTCTGGGCAAACCGTTCTGCCAGGCTGTGTTTTTGCCGTTGTTATGCTGCAGCTAATTATCCTCCGGCCGCTGGATGAAGTTCGGGAAACTGTCAGGGCTGCGGCCCTCTCGGCCGTGGTCGACGATATCGGGCTGCAACGCTTCGGGGCCCAAGGCCGCGTCAAAGCTGACCTGGCCAGGGCTGGTTTTGAACTGCGGCGTCAGCTTGAGATGGTGGATTCATCGCGTCTGACAAAGCACGGCTTTTTAGCTGGCCCCGCTGAGGCGCGAGATCGAAGCAGGTCCGTCTTGCCTCGGTGGCCCCAGCGCACGCGCTAAGAGAAACCTCGGGGTGGACTGCGGGTCGGGTCGGAGGCTTGGTTGGGGCGCTAAGCGAGAGCGCGTTGTGGCTGCTGCGACCCGCTCTCGGCGTCTCAGAGCTTTGAGGAAGGTTGAGAGACTCAAGCTGGCCACTCGCGCGGCGACGGTCACGTTGGAGACCAGCGTTGGGCATGGCAGCAGCGTCGCAGGCACCAATGGCAGCGAATTGAAGCGTTTGAGGCAACGCGTTGCAAACCGGGGTCCCGCCTCGTCGGCCTCGCTCACGCTCCGCCTCGCCCCTGCCCTTGGGAAGCGTGCCGATCCGATGTTCGAAGGCTCTGCCGAGCCGCCCTGTGCTTTTGTTAGCGGCGTCGAAGGAAGGTCGGGCCCCTCGGCATGTCATCAGCCAAGGCTTCGCCCACGCTCAGCAGCAAGCCGAAGGCAAGCGCGGCAGCTCGCGGCGAAGGGTCGCGGGCCTCTTTTCGGCCTCGCTGGCCACCCTTGAGCGTTTAGGTGTGATTTGCCAAGGTTTTAGTAAGTGGTTGTTGCCCTGGGGCATCGAAATCGACCCAGCGCCCTATTGTGTGCATGGCTTAAAGCAGTTAATCTTGCGGGCCTGCGAGCTGTGGCAGCGGAATCAAGTGGCAACCGCGCTCGAGGCTCGAGACCCCCGACGGCCGAAAAGGGCCCCAAGACGGCCCAAGGGAGGCCCAAGAGAGCTCCAACAGGGTGCCACGACGGGTCGTGGGGCACTCTCTGCTCCCAACATGCCCCCAGCACCTTCCGGGAAAACCTCCAGGACGCTCCCAAGAGGCCCCCCTGAGGCTCCCGAGCGACCCTGAAGACGTTCCCTGAATTCGAGGAGGAGGAGGAGGAGGAGGAGGAGGAGGAGAGGAGGGAGGAGGAGGAGGAGTAGGAGGAGGAGGAGAGGAGGAGAGGAGGGAGGAGGGATGAGAGGAGAGGAGAGGAGGGAGGAGAGGAGGAGGAAAGAGGGGGGAGAAAGAGGAGAAAGATGAGGAGGAGGCGAAAGAGGAGGAGGAGAGGAGGAGGGGAGGCGGAGGAGGAGGAGGAGGAGGAGGAGGAGGAGGATTAGGAGGGGAGGAGGGGAGGAGGAGGGGAGGTCTCGCGTCCACAGCCGCACGGCGTGCCCAGGAGAGGCTTCAGGAGGCTTCACGTGCGCGCTCCGACGCAGGGCTTCAAGGGCCACTCAGGAACACGCCGTGAGGCCCCGACAGGCCCTCCTCCTCCTCTTCATCCTCCTCCTCCTCCTCCTCTCCTCCTCCTCCTCCTCCTTCATCCTCCCCCATTTTCTCCCCCACTCTCCTCCTCCTCCTCCTCCTCCTCCTCCTCCTCCTCCTCCTCCTCCTCCTCCCCCTCTTTCTCCTCCTCCTCCTCCTCCTCCTCCAAGACGCCCCGAACTCACGATCCAGGTCATGGGTGTGCCGCCATGGGCAGGCCGTCTTCGACGAGGCGTCCTGGCGAATGCGTGTAACACCCGCCCCTGGGCCATCCACCCCACCCCCCTCGGCCTCCGCCAATGTTGATGTTCCATGGCCGCGAAGCGGTTAGCAGCGGCCAGAAAGTGCCAGAATTGAGTCGGGCACGTCCCTCTACCGGAGGAATGTTCCCAAATAGGCAGAACATGCTCCGGGGACGACTCTTCGACTATGTGTTGCATCTCCTGGGGCATCTGTGGGCCATTTTGTCTTTCTCCCCCAAACTCTCCGCCTGCTGGAGGACATGCCCGACCTAAGGCCGTTGCCACTGCGACTGTCATTGCGAATGCGACTGCGACTGCGAGAACAGCAGAGTTCTACAACCGGATTCTCACCTGAAGCTTGAAGGGAAGGCTTCCAGATATGCTTATATACACATCGGTGTCAGGTTGCTCTGCCGGGATAAGTTTCTTCTCCCCCCAAACTCTCCGCCTGCAGGAGGACGTGCCCGACCTGATGCTAGCAGCCTGCGGAGGAGGAAGAGGAGGAGCAGGAGGAGGAGGAGGAGGAGGAGGAGGAGGAGGAGGGGGCGAGGAGGAGGAGGAGGAGGAGGAGAGGAGGAGGAGGAGGAGGAGGAGGAGGATGTGCCTCGGAGCAGGGTGTGCCTGCGCTGTTCTGCGGCGCCACCCGCAGGCATCCGACGATGACCCGCCTGCTCGGCCCGGCCCGCGGGGGCCCAGTGGCCTCGGCCCCCTCGGCCTCCGCCGAGGTTGATGAAGTCCCGTGGCCGCGAGGCGGTTCGCAGAGGCCAGGAAGCCTCCTCCTCGTCGTCGTCCTCCTCCTCCTCCTCCTCCTCTTTTCTCCTCTTTCTCCCCCTCCTCCTCTCCTCTTCTCCTCCTCTCTCCTCTCCTCCTCTCCTCCTCCTCCTCCTCCTCCTCTCCTCTCCTCCTCCTCCTCCTTCCTTCTCCTCTTTCTCCCTTCCTCCTCATCTTCTCTTCCTCCTCTTCTCTCTCTTCTCCTCTTCTCCTCCTCCTCCTCCTCCTCCTCCTCCTCCTCCTCCGCCAAGACGCCCCGAGCTCACGATCCAGGTCATGGGTGTGCCGCCATGGGCAGGCCGTCTTCGACGAGGCTTCCTGGCGAATGCGTGTAACACCCGCCCCTGGGCCAT